TTTCCATATGTGAGCACTGTGCATCTGGCTGGGCCATTTTCGTTGGGGACTCTTCTATATCAGCATTTTGAGGTCTTATTCCTCTTACTTTCCCGTGCCTATAGGTGGAATCCTGACTGTATTTAGAGTTAATTGGTGAGGGGTGGGATTGAGAAAGAGTAAGGGGTCTCAACATCACTTCTCTCTTCTCCTTTTCAGTGTGTGGTACATTCACTTTTAACTGTGGTTAGTATCTTCTTTAGAGTAGAAGGATCAAGATCCTTTATTTTACTCTCTTCGAGGCAAGGTAGGTGACCTAGGGGCTAAGTAAATACTGGAGCAAATATTCCACCAGTTTTCCTGTTTTTACTCTCTTTGCGTCCCCGCTTTCAGGAGTACCTAGTGCTACCAATGTCTGATCCCTTCAGGTGTTCTGCACTATTAAATTAGGTTGTGTCTTGCACGGGATTCTGTCTTCTTCAAATTAAATACGACTCTCTAGCTTCCAGAATTTTATCACTTCTGTTCTTTGGTGGATTTATTTGGTGAAGGGATTATACCTTTTGTAAAAAGTACTTATCATTTTACTAGAGGTGTGGAGAGATCAAAGAATTAAATGTGTATGTTAATTCATAATCTTTAACTGGATTTTTTATTTTCTTTTTTAGTTTAAGTCTTTAGCCCTTCTGTGATTTAGGTAAATGGCATATAATGGAAGTATGATTTTCATTTATTTCCAAATATATTGAATTTTCTAATTTTTGTCTATTTCCGTCACTCATAAAATTCAATCTGTGAAATGTGAAATATAGGAAGATACTATATATACTGAATATATGTCTAGCCATTCTATTCTTTTGATCAGTAGTTTTATTCCTTTGCACATTTAGTATTCCAGTTGAACTTCACAATTATTTTCTTTCTTTCTTTCTTTCTTTATTTGTTTATTTATTTATTTATTTATTTGAGACACGGTCTTGCCCTGTCTCCTAAGCTAGAGTACAGTGGCATAATCATAGCTCACTGCAGCTGTGAATTCATGGGCTCAAGCAGTCCTCCCGCCTAATCCTCCTGAGTAGCTAGGACTATAAACACATGCCATGCCTAATTTTTATTTCTTTTTTGTAGAGGTGAGGTCCTACTATGTTGCCCAGGCTGGCCTTGAACTCCTAGCCTCAAGTGATCCTCCTGCCTTGGCCTCCCAAATCGCTGGGGTTATAAGAGTGAGCCACCATGCCTGGCTTATTTGTCTGTCTGTGTCTCCTCCAGTCCCCAACTCCAGAAAAATGTGTGTGTATCTATAGATGTATGTATACATACATACACATTTACATGTTTACGTATATCTATATCCATATATTGGGATTTTTTTTTAGCTTTTTTTCTTTTTTCTGAGACAGAGTATTGCCCTGTCGCCAGGCTGGAGTACAGTGGCGAGATCTTGGCTACTGCAGCCTCCGCCTCCCAGGTTAAAGTGATTCTCCTACCTCAGCCTCCTGAGTAGCTGGGACTACAGGCATATGCCATCTCACCCAGCTAATTTTTGTATTTTTGGTAGAGACGAGATTTCACTGTGTTGGCCAGGATGGTCTCGCTCTCTTGACCTCATAATCCACCCGCCTGGGCCTCCCAAAGTGCTGGGATTACAGGCATGAGCCACCGAGCCCGGCCAATTTTTTTTTTTAGGCTGACATCTTTGCAAAATCAAAGAACATGCTTTTCACTACACTTAACTTGGGTCCTTCATATACATTACTACCTCAGTAAATAAAGTGTCTGCATTATGCTAGAAATTACAGACATAATGGTGAACAAAGCATGGCCCCTCAGTGTTATGTTACCAATTCTTCATATTTCTTACTGAATTAAATCCTAAGTATTTTATATGTTTGTAGCTGTTGTGAATGGGTTTTTGTGTTGTTTTTCTGTTTTGTTTTGTTTTTCTTTTCTCTAATTAACTCTTCATGTTTTCCAGTTGATTATTGCTAGGAGACCAGAAAGTTGTTCATTTCCCTTTAGGCCTTTCTAAAGTCAACATTTCTTGTGCCAAAAATATGTCACTCTACTCCCTACCAGTTCTTCTCCTGGCCAGTCACACAGAGGTTTTTCTAGAGTTCCACCTGCTACTTGTTGATAGATAGTATTTGATAGTGACTCAGAATATTCTGTTTGAACCATATCAACTCCTAGGGATCTTGTTAAAAATACAGTTGTTGCAGAGGGTTAATTGATGTGCTGAAGTTCAGAGTGGAAAATTTTATGATGTCTGATTTCTTCATTCAGACTTACTAGCCCTCAAGGTTTTCTTTGTTCTTGAGCCTCTTTGCCTCTCCAGCTGTCAGTTTGGTTTTATTCCTGTTTAATTTCATGCCAGACGCTCATACAAGAATGAGGGCATGGCCAGAGGATCTGTCTCAGAAGTGAGGGCTAAGCTCAAATAATTCAATTATTTTTTTTTTTTAAGTTTTGTGTTCTTTGAGAGCACTCCCTCAAAACTAAACAAGTGATAGAAAGATAATTATTCCATTCATCTTGTTCTGAAAGTTCTAAAAGTATTGTTACATTATAATAGACAAAAACACCTAATTTTATGGGAACTTTTTCTCTAGGTGATGGCTGAGCTGTATCATCAATGTATATTGATTTCCCCTCCCCCTTAAGGCTAGGCTAATTCCCAGCCTCACTCTAATCCATGTGGTATCTAACTCTCATCTGATGACTAGGGGTGTCTTTTTGAAGAACATGGAGTCTGTTCCTGCAGCGTTAATCATTCATATGTGTGATGGTGGTGGAGGGTGGAGAAGGGCTAAACGGCTGTTCCTTAATTGAATCTCAACCCTGCTTTTTTGACTCTGAGTATTGTGCTTCCTCTATTGCATCACATACATGGCTAAACTTCTGTAACTGTTACGGATCCTCTGAGCATCGATTTATCAGAATCATTTTGATAGCGAGTTATAGTTTCTGTTTCCACTTCCTATTAGGGTTACAAGCTTCCAAAGTTTACTAGTGTCCCTTATGTATTCTTCATTTCTCTTCTTAAGTGTTTAGGAAAACCTTTCTGTCCTACTGCATTGAAATGTAAGGTACAGTGTAAAAGGTACAGTGTGAAAGCCATAAGTCAAATGGATGTGGGTTCAACTCACTTATCACCTTTTAGCTTACCATTTCCAGCTAGATGACTAAGTAAGATATTTTACTTTGTGAATTTTTTTTGCTTTGTTCTGTTTTTTAGGTTTCCTCAGTATAAAATGAGGATGATAATAGAAACTAACTCATAGGATTACAGTGAGAATTAAATGTAATAATGTATACCAAGCATGTACCACAGGGCTTGGTACAGAACTGACACTTAAGAACTTGCTGCTGATATTATTATTGTGGTTATTATGAATAATGGTGATATATCTGTAGAATTCAGACATCTAATCCAGCCTTTGTCTGTGACACAAAATCTTTTTAGTCTACCTTCATGACAATCCAATCACCACCAGCCATTTCATTTGTAGTTCCCATTTATTATTCTTGAGTGTATTATAATTTTAAGTAAAGAGGAAACAAAAAAACTCTACCCTTAATTTTAAGTATGGTTGCATTGTGGCTTTGTAAAAGGGAGACGGTATTTTCAGACTTGTTTCTTTGCTTTATACATGTCCGTTAGAAGCCTGAGTTGGTCGGGTTTCTTCCCATGCATTTCCTTGGGTGGTTTCTTTACATGGCTTTTTCTTTTCTTCAAGGAAGTCAAGATCGTATTGCCAAATTTAGTTTTCCAAAGCCATCCTCACACTGAATTATCTGCCCCTAGAGTATGTATTCTCTTACTGCTTATTTTTGTAAGTTTTAGAGACCTAGTTTCCCCAATTCTGGGCTGCTGAGAAGATTTTGCCAGGATTGATGGTCTTGACTGTTGTTAGTTTGGTATGATTTGGTTCTTTTCTCACATGGTTACTATTACTTCTACTTCACCAACCAGTTCATGCTTATAAGTCAAAATTGGGCCCAGAGTAATAGCTCCCTTGTTAATTCATATGTTGTCAGGGGTAAATAAAAGAATAAGACACCCAGCAGCTGTCCAGATTCCTGCTGTATCTTCTGTGTTAATTCCATGATCTCCAGCATAAACGTCTCTTCTGTTTTCTCTGTAGATGGATATAAGTAATATGTTCCCTTAACAGTTTCATTTCTTATTCTCTTTCCTTTTACCCTTACCTCTACCATGCATTCCACCCCCATTTCTTGATTTTCCACACAGGTATATGCTTTCTCAATGATACTCAACTTTACTTTCTCACTTTATTTTCCTCTAACTATTCATCAGTTTCTTCACCCTCATAACACACACACACACACACACACACACACACACACACACACCCCAAAAAACCTTTCCTGTGATTTATGCTTGGCAATGTACTGCCCAAAAAACCTTGGTTTCAGCTATAAACTTGGAGGTTTTGCTTGTACCTCCAAAGTGTTGAGGAACTTGATAAGCTAGAAGTGACGTGAAAGGAGTGACATGCCTCACAGTTTGTCTTACCATTTCCAGTTTACCCTAAAGTAGCTGGGAACTGATGAGAAATCTGAGTCCTTTTTCTGAGCACTACTCAAAGTAGATGGGAAAGGCTTTGTTTGTTTTTCCTGGTCTTATGATTAGATTTAGCACAAGTATAAACTGGGAAATACTTGAGAGAGTAAGTTGCTTGGGCTACGGGGATCAGTATTTTATGATTTAATTCTAGTCCTTCTTAGTTTACGGCTGGTTTTTTTTTTTGCTTTGTTTTGGTTTTTTTGTTTTGTTTTGTTTTATTTTGTTTTGAAAGGGGGACATTTTGCAATACAGTTTTAAGTGTCTGCCCTGCTGCATATGAAGGGGGCGGGATTCCTTCTAGACTGCTGTCATTTAGTCCGAATTTAGAAGTGAGGGATTTAAGGCCATCAGTCAACAGCTTCCTGCATTTTGTGCTGTTCTCCATTGAAGTCATGATTAACGCCTGGGCTTTCGTTCATTTGGGTCCCCTCAGATACACCTATGAGCGAATTGATGGGCGAGTACGGGGAAACCTGCGCCAGGCAGCCATCGACCGGTTCTGTAAGCCAGATTCAGACCGCTTTGTCTTTCTTCTGTGCACCAGAGCGGGAGGCCTGGGGATCAATCTCACAGCTGCTGATACCTGCATCATATTTGATTCTGACTGGAACCCACAAAATGACTTGCAGGTAACCACTAGGATGATTGCTCTTTACCTTAGCTGCCCTGCATCCCAGAATATCATGATAGGGCCTGGCTTGGCTACAGAGCATCTGTGATGCTCCATGCTATGGTGTCAGCTGGTTGACAGGCTTAGGGCCTTGATCAGGGGTGAAACTGAATGAAAAGTAAATGTTGATCCTTCCAACTAATTAGAGTGTGGTTCTTTCCATTAAATCAAATGATGTTTCACAGTGGTAGCCTCCAGATATAGACTAGTACTAGTAAGTATTATTATCAGAAATAAAGATACTAAGTTTGACTAATTCTCTAATTCTTGATATGTAGATGATTTGGGCATTTTCACTTGGTTTGGTGGTTTGTATAGTAAATTAGTTAACCCAGAGGGGTAGGAAAGTTCCATGGAGTGACAGGGGCAATGGGGGCAGCCTCACCAGTTCCTTTCCTCTCCACACAATGCAGCACCTTAGAGTTTACATGTGTCCAGTTGACTGGCTTTATGGAGTCTATTTTTGGTTTTAGCTAAACTAAATAGCAGGTGGCTTTAAAAGATTACTGCAAAGATTGGAGTTGATACATTTTTTTAGAAGCTAACATAAACAAGCAAGAAAATGGCAGGGTCTGGTTTGGAATTCTTCCATCAACCCTGTTTCAAAGTAAAAATAATGGCATTCTAACTATATGGGCTGCAAAGTCAGCCAAAAAGATTCTAACTTGTCACTAAGACCATTTGGAATGTAGATTTACAGCCATTATCATTAATGATGAACTTCATCTTAAATGTATATTGTATGTATTTTGAGATATTTACTAATACTAGGATTATGTGTATGTGGAGAAGAGGGTGGGTGGGTGGCTCAAAACCTTTTTCATAATACAGATGATTAATCAAAAGTAGTTTGGAGGCTGTTCTTTGACAGGATTCAAGAGATACTCTAGGGATGCTGCAAGAGAAGGGATGCAGGGAAGAGGGCACGAAGATGATGGGTATCTGGGGTTCTTCCCTACCCACCCACTCCTACCGAGTTGTTCTACTTTGTTTTTCTTTTTCTTTTTTGGAGACAGAGTCTCGCTCTATTCCCCCAGGGTAGAGTTCAGTGCCACAATCTCGTCTTACTGCAACCTCTGCCTCCCAGGTTCAAGCGATTCTTTTGCCTCAGCCTCCAGTGTAGCTGGGATTACAGGGGCTTGACACCATGCCTGGCTAATTTTTGTATTTTTAGTAGAGATGGGGTTTCACCATGTTGGCCAGTCTGGTCTCAAACTCCTGACCTCAGGTGATCCGCCCGCCTCGGCCTCCCATAGTGGTGGGATTAGAGGTGTGAGCCACTGCGCCTGGCCCTTTGTCTTTATCATTTAATGAGTTTCTACATAAACTTTTGTTTGAAGAAAGCAGCCTAGAAGTTGAAAACTTGTGCTTTAAATTATTAAATTAGTGATGTCTCTGAAAATATTTCATGGTATATATCGTAAAGTAAACTATGTTTAACGTGTAGCCTCAAAGAAAACCTCTGATTATGGCTAGCTTACTGTCTTCTTTCTACTGGTGAAAAGATGGTTGAAGATGAGTTGCTAGATATAATGAATAACCCATTTTTAAAGGAGTAACACATTCAACACTAAAATAATAATAAACAAAACTGAATGTTTGATCAGCTCACTATCAAAAACCTACTTACAACAATGATACAGATTAAGGAGTGGAAAGCGATTGCCTTTTGGCCTGCTGCCTGTTTTTAAAAATAGTTTTATTGGAATATAGCCATGCCCATTTGTAAGTATATTATCTATGGCTGCTTTCATGTTATAGTGGCAGAGTTGAGTAGTTGCAGCAGAGACCTGATAGCCAACAAAACCTAAAATATTTACTATTAGGTCCTTGCAGATTTTTGTCAACCCTTACAGATTTCATGTCCCCCTCAGAGACCACAAGTTCTCTTCTTCTTTGTGATGCTCACCTGACTGTGAGGTATGGCACCTGGGAGAGTAATGCCACAGGAAACCAAAGTTGAATGGCCAGCTGGACATGCCTGAAGGGATATCCAGGAGGATCAGTGAAAGCATGGGGCTGGTGACAGATCATGACTGGAAGCAAAGATTTTGGAATGACCATGCTTCACCTAGGCGAAGCCTAAACATTGCCAATTGAATAGGTGCACTGCCAATGGAAAAAGCAAGAACGTAAATGTTCAAACCTACTGGAGAAGGCAAAGTTATCGGAGGTGACTGATTTGTATGTGTAGCAACCAGAGAAGTTGGGTGGGACTATCCAGAATAAGGGTCTTGGATGAAGGGAGAAGCTTTGGAGTAGCTGTTAATGTCCACTGCTAGGGAGCTGGCAAGAGATGAATTAAGGAATAGCAGTGAAGTCCAAACTGAAATTAGATAGCGTGAACTTTATTAGTGTGTCGAGTCAGTTTCTGAACTTCCTCTATTGCTCAGCCTGAATGAAGAAATGAAGAAGCCCAGCACCATGGAAGATCCAAGGTGGAAAATGCAGGGTGGGAGCTCATATGGAGAATGCAGCCAAAGGTTACTGCGTGAGAGAGAACATTTCTATAACTCAGAAGGAATCATCCTCTATTTTGTTTAATGTCTAGCCAGTCTAGGTAGAGATGAAAGAATTGACAAATGTAGAGCAGTTTTAGGACAGGGGACTAGAAGAGCAGCTGTAACGAGTGGGATTGGTGGGCTGTAAAAAAGATGTGATAGAGGAAGCCCAAGTTCTGTGTCTCCCACAGAGATGGAGCAAGATTCTCGCTTGCTTGGTGTGATGAGGAAGATAGCAGAGGGCTTTTCCAAAAGCAAGAGGGCTGGAGACTGTCCACCAAACGATGCACACTCCCCACACAAACAGACATTCCCATGCCCCTTGGCATTTGCCCTGCACCCACGTGTTATAAACATAGAATATTTACTCCAGAGAGTCTGAAGACTGGGACACTGAGATGGTGTTCCTCTTCCCAAATCCTCCTCTCCTCTTGCTTTCCAGAAAATGGAGGCACAGATTCATTAGGATGCAGGCTAGAAATTGGATACTACTTAGGAATAACAAAAGCAATTAAAGTTAGCACTGAGAGATCTTAACAATATTATTGTTCTATCTGGACTGTCAAAGGAAAACCAATTTTTACATCCCCCTAATGGGGAGATCTTAACTAGAGTCAGGTAAGTGCCACATCCGCTCTCAAACCTTGAATATGTCTGTGTTAGCATCAGTGTGTGTAAAAAAAAATTGAAGGGTATCAGTTCGCCTTTTCTCACCATCATTCAGAAGACAAAGGCTCTAATTTAGTCCTGGCACATGAGCAGCAGCAGGTGTTGTCTAGATTTCCCGTAACACCTAAGGTTAAGAAGTGGCACAGGGCAATAACAGTAGGCTGAAAAGGAAAGAGAAATGAAAAACTGGGTTTTTATCTTCTTTCTTCTTATTAGGAGGAGGCCACTGTTGCTGCTACCCCTGAGGGCAACAGCAGACATGGTTTCATGCCCCCCCTCAGAGACCACAAGCACTTTTCTCTTCCATTGTTCCATGATACCTCTGCTTCTTACTCTTTGGGGGGCTTTTTGCACCTGGAGGCAAGAGTTCCTTAGGGTTGAAGACGGTTCAAGATAACAGTGGTGGGCTGCACAGTTCTCCGTCCTTCCTGCCGCTAAGGTCCCTGAAGGCAGAATTCAGAAAGTGTGGGAGCAGATATCCTGGCCAAGAGCACAGCTACAGGGTAATGCAGCTGTTACATGTCTGCAGGATTTTGGAAAGGAATTGGGAGTCCAGTGTGAGGAGCCAGGGCCCTTTCCAGGATTGCCAGAAGCAGGACTTAGGAACCTTCCATACTGCTCCGAGGGGAAGAGGTGTTGGGCACCTCTGCCTCTTCCTCTGCTGCCACCATGTTACTTGCATCCCCTATTTCTTATCTTTTTTATTTTATTTTATTTTATTTTATTTTATTTTATTTTATTTTATTTTTTAGAAGACAGGATCTCGCCATGTTGTCCAGGCTAGAGTGCAGTGGCTCAATCTCAGTTCACTGCAACCTCCACCCACCTCAGCCTCCCAAAGTGCTGGGATTACAGGAGTGAGCCACCACTCCTGCCTACACCCCCTATTTCTTGATTGTGTGTGTGTCTGGAGCTTGGAGGATTGCATCTGTTGAGTTTTCTTTGCTATGAGAAAGTAAGAATTTGTAAATGTATACACAGATACTCTCCTGTGTAGTCATTTATTCAGTGACTATCTCTTGAAAACTGGGACATGCCAGGTGTTGCATAAAGTATTGGAGAGACACCGGTGAGCTAAGCGGACAGTTTTATTTCAGTGGGATGGGCAGACAGTAAATGAGGAAAAATAAGATAATTACAGTTGAGCAATATGTACTGCAAAGAAAATAAAATAAGGGGATAAGAATGATGGGAGTTGGGGCCGGGTGTGGTGGCTCATGCTTGTAATTCCAGCACTTTGGGAGGCCGAGGCAGGCAGTCACCAAAGGTCAGGAGTTCAAGAGTAGCCTGGCCAACATGGTGAAACCCCATGTCTACTAAAGATACAAAAATTAGCCGGGCATGGTGGTAGGCACCTGTGATCCCAGCTACTCAGGAGACTGAGGCAGGAGAAATGCTTGAGGCAGAGGTTGCAGTGAGCCAAGATAGTGCCATTGTACTCCAGCCTGGATGACAAGAGCAAAACTCCGTCTCAAAAAAAAAAAAAAAAAAAGATTGATGGAGTTGGGTGCCCTGATTTAGATAGAGTGATCTAAGAAGATGACATCTTAAATTATGAAATAAGAAAGAAGAATGTTCCAAGCAGAGAGAACCAAGAGTATAACCATGTAGAGTGAGAATGTGAATAGGTGGCACCCCGAAAGCATCGGATGGGACAGGCACTTACTACACAGCACCAGTCCCAAAGAGAGTGAGTCGAGTTCCTTTTGAGGACCCTGCTGCCTCTCTTTATCAATGTCCTTTTTTTAAAACTCCTTTCTGCTACCCAAAAGCACCCCTTTACCATTCT